GTATTTAACATGAACTAACGTAATCGATCAAACAAGGCGACCAGCTAGTTATAAAAAAGGGAGTAGGCAAAGTCCAACTACAATCAAGGAAACTAGGACCGTCCCAGTTACGACTAGTCGTGGAAACATGACTGAAAGAAACGGTACCGCAAGACAACAAGCTCTTTGTCCTTAGACGTGAGAGCGCCAGGCTTCCGTTTCCACCGTCAACCTCTAAAATCCTACAATTCGCGTACTTACTCCCTTTATACGCATTTATTCGCAGCTCAACGCTTGTCTGACAAAAGTGTGGCTTCAAAAATCTGCTATGCCCTTCCGTTCAGTGACGTCCTTCGTCTTTATTTTCATTCCGATCGTAGCTTTGTACCGTTAAAATATTTGCTTCCGAGAGAAATATGACGATCCGTGGAACACTTTCGTCTGACTTTGAAATATCCTTTAGCACATGATATATCTGATACAAACATTCGTTGCCAAAGGATTCGACAGTCTCAAATACACGGAACTCTTTGTTAAGCTTCCTCGATGTAAGCAACCACCGGCAATCGTCGTCTTCTTTGTCTTTTTCTGAAGAATCTCATCAGCACCGAGTTTTCACCTTCACCTTGACTGGAAAGAAAAAGCTCCACGACCTTCTGCCCGGTCAAAGAGACTCTCGCAACCGCTTGTAAATTCGTTTGCTAGAGGAAGTGGATGATTAATATAGCGGTCGTAACACAGTTGTCAGCCGATCGAACAAAAAGAGGCTCCTCCAGACACTTTAACGATTTCGCGAAGGAGTCTCCTTCTCTTTTTTAACTCTGAAGCGGCCGCATTCCTATAATTTGTACAATTAGAAACATTCGTATTTCTCTTACTTCTTATATTACTCTGAAATCTTTAATGAGTAACGTAATGATATAATTGCGTGGACTTAGTTCAGATTTAGAAAAAAATAAGCTAAAGGAAATAGTACATTCGACGCTACTGACGCGTATAACACATCGACTCAATTATCTTAGACTTGCATTCTAAATAACGCTGCCGAGGCAATTTTTGCGTTTCGACAGGAAGACTAAGAGTAAGACTAAGAGCAAATAAGCGGCACGTTGACATAAATATTATTAGTTGAAACAAAGATCTTTCGAACGAAGAGAAACGCGGGATGAGACGTAGAGAAATCTCATTCATAACGAGACACGTTTCAAAAGTTCTCAGTGATGTCAGAAAAATTATACGTAATAACTCAGCAGTATTTCTAGAAGTTACCTTGGAACGTAATTGTCTCGTTAGTCACGAAAGGATTACAGGTACGTACCTTTGTCGTAGTAAAAAATAAAAGATCGTTTTCAAGAATTTACTTAAAATAAAGAAAAGCTACTTATACGTAGTAAATATCTTTTTATTGAAAAAAAGAAAAGATATATTCCCGCTTCGTACTACGTCAGATCGAGTAATCAAATGGAAGAAAAAGGTCGATTCGTTTTGAACCTCGTAAACGTATCCCACTTAACACCGTATTATTCGTTTCGTAATATTCGCCGAGTTTATAATCGGTTCTCTGTTCGTAATAATAGATACACACTCGAGGCACATCCACCAGGTGCGTACCTGTCTGGGTACACCATTCGATATCGTGCACAAAAGAGCACGATATAGACCCAAACGCCGCAACGCTGAAGGTAAGATGAACTTACCACTCGCCACGAACACAGCCAGGCTATTGATTTTCCAGCAGAGTCACCGTGGCGCCAATGTTTACGATATATATTATATACCGGGTGTTCCATCGTGAATAACCGTTTGTAACATTCTCGAGTCTATCGCGAAGTTTGATTACTTAATTTCTATATTTTCACATCGAGAAGAATTCTAAGACGTAGAGTGCTAAGACGTTTCGCGTGAAACCAAAACGAGAAATCATGCGTACGAGTATAAGATGTTTTTCGTATTTTCACAGATCTACAGATATCTTTCAACGTTAGAAAAATATAATTGGATGGAAGAAGACCGAAAGACTGCGGTTGTAGAGTTACACGCTAGAACCACTGTAGCGTGTGCGACTATATAAAATCATCGCATTTGTTATGGCTTTCACGTATTAATTAACCAAATGCAAGTATTCTCTTAACTTTTATTTTAATAACACTCTCATATGACTACGAATTAGTAGCGTCACGAGAATGAGAAATGGAATGAAGTTTTAATTAATTCTTCCTCTTTAGTCTCTTTAACTGCGACGCGAGCGAATACGGTGCATCGTTACCGACGCAAAAATCTCCTTTAGCGAGTCCTACCTCGAGTAGAGCAGGATAGAATAACAAAAATTTCCAGCTCAAGCATCTTTCAAAATCATAGGACAAAATTGTAACAAAGAGCAACTCGCTCTGATATATTCAAGAATTAATTACAATCTGACACTTTCTCGCGAGTCTATCGATGACGGTAATCTTTCTAATCTTCCTAAGTGGAAAAAGGAAAGCTCGATTACAAAAACCGCATAGACATTGACAGAGGCACTAGCTTCTAACTCGTATTTGCAACATATCTACGATTCTAATCGATTCTAATCGATCAGTTGATTAGCTCAAGAGTGTGATCGATGGTCACTCTGTAGATGAAAGTTCGGCAATACTTAAATGTCAGACGAAAATAGCCGTAGCATAATTGGAAAGTACGAGATGAAATGAGAAACGGTTAGGGACTTTGATCGACCACTTTTTGCATAACCACACGGTACATTTAGTATGTATATCCTGCTTGTACCTGCGTACAACTATCCCAGAGAGGTACTACCCGGCAAGTACTACTACGATACACTCGAGAGAACGTAAAGGACTTGGTTATTATTTTGAACCGCGTCAACTTGGCTCGAAATAATACCACTTCCTTTAGCCGGTTCAAAGGCAATAACAGGATATCTCGACGACTTTCAACCTTTCCCATTTCACGACGCGTACGAACTAATTACATACATAAAATTCTGCGGTACATCAAAGAGTACATTATATTTGGTCGAAGACGAAGCGTTCACACCGGACAGCTACCGTTGTTTTTATTCGAGCCGCTTACTTGCCGAATTGGTAAACACCGGAAAACGAAAAGTAGAGAAAATCGACGATACGGCTGATTATCGGTATCTCGTGCATCCCACCGATTTCGATGATTTTTTAACACCCTGTAGAAATCGACATTTCGAACAACTCTTCCCCATACGTATAACCACCGCTCGGCCATAGTTTCCCAGACATAGGCAAAACTGTCGATACCACTACAGTGAACTCTGCCTGTATAATTACGAGTCCGTGACAACGTTTGCCCTGGTATTAGTTGGCCGCCGTCTGGCAAAACGACATTTAACCCAAACCTACTTAAACTACAAACAAAAGATGCAGATTAGGTACGGGTTAGATATTATTTTATCCGGCTGCTAATATTAGCGCACACTCTGTCACGGCCGTACGTACAATTATATATGCAGTTCTATATTCTGTACTACGCATAGTGTGACGGTAGCGATAGTTTATCGCGAGTATCAGTCATATGTATACAAACAAGTTGTTCAGAATCGCATCGCCGGCAACATGTATAATAATCATAGAAATCGGTAAGGTGAATGAAACATCGATAATTATCAAAGTATATAAGACAGGCGTTAGTGAAGCGCTTTGGCATTAAAGTTTTTCGAGTCACGACCTCCGTGGAATTAATCTCTGTGCTTCTGGATTATTTGCCACGCGATTACCCAGTAAGTGGGATAACCGAGGTATAACGAATACAGAGGGACAATGAACGATGAAAATCGAGGTGGCTGGGGGGCGACCTGATTTCCACTGTCCCCGGCTGCAGCGGAGGCCGTCAACAATGCGACTTTATTCGACTCGGAAGAGGGGTCCATTGGTTAATGAGGTTAAGAGCGAGACTAGACGATGCGATCAGTCGAATACAGAGTAGACCAAGTATAGTAGCCTCCGTATTATAGTAAGGTTGTAAAATCGATAGCCGGTGTTTGAGCAAAAAAAAATTAGCTTCGCTATTCGAAGCGTTCGAATTATCTTTGATCAAATCGTATTTTCCTATCGTTGAATAATTTCTTAAATTCGAGGCAAATGTCCTCGGCAATTTTCTAAATTTCAGGATTAATCGTAGTGGTGAGGATTTCATTTTCGCTCGGATTTTTTCAAAATATTAAAACTATTCTTCGATCGGTTGAAATTAAAGTAAGATCGAAATACATTGATATTCGAGGAGCCTGAGAAAAAACGGACCGCAACTTTTGTCATGTTCGATTCGTATCGAAAAGAATAGAGCGCTGTAATAGGCCTGGGTATGACAGCATCGTTTAACACTCCAATTCGCAACTTCATTATATCATAGTAACTGTTCGTACTCGACCACGGGATATTTCAACGTGCAGAGTTAATATTCGTAAAAATTGGAGGTCTCTGGTTTGCGTATATTTAAATGTACGAGCATACGTGTATTAAACGTATCTATGCTTCGATTTATCCAATCCTTAAGCTTGAAACTTCGATATGCTGAAAATGGGAAAATGGTGAAAATATTCACAGCTGTGGTCTGTTTTCGTTCCTTTTTTGGCTACCGAATTGCGTGCCACAGAATCCAATATTGGACCAGTGAAACTATTTTCAGCGATCCGGAACTCCGATACCTAAACTGGGTGAATCGAATAGCGAGAAAGGTCGTGTTAATTAATTCGTCCTAGATTCTATCAAATCATTAATTCAAGTAAATATTCAAAGATATTTCTCATAAAAATGAATTAATAAGTAAAAACTGTTACCTTGTACATTGTCGTGGCTGTACAGAATAAAAATTACTTCACTAAACATTACTCGGTACGAGGATCGAATAACTTTCGTGTACAGATGTTTCTTCAACTCGCAAAATTGCTTGCGAAATTATTAGATAAGAGTCTTTGTTGCCTCCCATATAACGCAAAGTGTTCGAATACTCGTGCCAGCATCTATTTATTTCAACTTATGTATCAAATATTTGACCTCGCCCCTAACAATTTCACCCCAGCAATTTCACATCATCGGATCTTCGAGTTGCGTTTAACGATTCGCGTGGATCAGACGACGAGCCCGATACAAAATATGTCCACGTGCATGGTATGTTCCGGTGGGCCCGATTATCGTCGCGCTCGGATCTGAAATTCCTTGGCAGCTGGCGTGTTTTCCTATTTATCGAGGATGACTCGGCGTGCAGCATGGAAAGGTCAAAAACCTGCAACTTGTAGGGATTCAGAAAAGCAGATTCGATCCTCGCGCCCGTCTGCGTACAAGCAAGCTCGTGGAGATCAATAAATACAGTTATACCGACTGTTCCGTGCAAACGATCTCATAGTAAAAATAAACATCTTCGCTCTATGATGCGCTATTTACAAAAACGCTTCAGCTACTCGGTACCCTTAACTACCGCTATTATATTCTTAGACGTGGTGAAATTTTCGAGTTGTTGCTGTCAGAAATTATTTATTTTAAAATTAATTTAACAACCCGTTCCCATACTCGTGGCCGGCCACGTATTTTCGGCGGATGAGAAAATAAATCGAACGGTGCACGAAGGCCGAAAAAAATGCCTCGATTAAGGCTATGGAAGCTGGTGCATAGAGCACGACTAGTAGTCCACCGCTGTGGACGAAACTACGTCACGTCCGCATTTACGTTAATCCGCTGTCGGCCGACTTGGTTACCTCCGTCATTTACTTGAACGCCGTGCTACAACGCATCGTTTATCACTTAAAACCGCGGCCGAAAATTTGCACGTCGAACTCAAGGCGATCGCTTTCGGCTAGCAAACGTTAGAAAGCGAAATTCATCGAGCTCGAGAAACTTGAGAAACTAGAGAGAACGTCGAATGCGTTTGTATCGGATAGCTTAGAAATAATTTTCTAATTAGGAGCATACGTGCAATAGATTGCAGAAGTTTCGTTGAGTAGGAAATATTTCAATAATATCGTAGTTAGGTCGATGATCGGTTGACTTGGTATAACTTGGAAATAGTTGAATTTAAGAAACAAAGACAGTCAGCATGGATCGCGAGAGAAGATTCTTTCGAATTGTAAATAATTTAGACAAATAATATGAAAGCGCGTGTAATGCTAATTTCTCAACTTTGTTTTCTCTCGTGTCAAAAAGGCTAGATCCGTTCAAACGAGACTATAAATAGTTTAGCGGCGAAACTCGTCGATAAAAGAGTAGCTAATCAAAGGAAGAACAACTTTCGAAATAGATCGACGTCTTCGTTTAATTCTGTCCCCGCAAAATGAAAAATCCTCCCGCTTATAAATACACCGGGCGTGATTCATCGCTAGAACGATGCGACGAATCGAGAGAACAACGAAATAGAGAAAATATCGTAGGTTCGATGATATGTAGCTACTGTAGATAATAACGGCGCGCGATTCGAGAGGAAAAAGTGGAAATATCATTTGTTCAATCTATATACTTTTACCTATCTGCTATATACAATCTATATACTAAATACTTTTGTTCAAAGTATCAATGTTTCCAGTTACAAAAACTTTCCCGTCGTTTTACACCAGTTTCAATTAAGAAATCGAACATCGGTTAATTAGCCGATCGCGCGATAAAAACTTCGACGCAGCTGGATCGGCGACGCATCTCGAGAACTAGTTTCTTTAGATAAGGAAAAACAAAAGCAATAAGGGAGTGGAGACGTTATCGAGCACACAATTGCGTTAAAGATGCAGTTAATATTTGTTTATAATATTACATAATTTACATAATTTGCATAATCTAATTTTTACATAATTTAAATCTATATTGTACAATTATTTTTGCCACGATATTACAATATCGTTTATCGTAAGCTCCATACAAAAATATTATAGAAAGATAAATAAACATACATTAAATGATAAAAATGGCAATTAGCAAATTGTGAAAAAAATAAAAATAAAGGGATAAAAGTAAAAGATAAGAAGATTAATTTAAGATACAACAAAAAGAACTACGAATATGTAACTACGTAAATAGAGAAGAAAAACGTGATTAATTTGTAGAATTATTTAATTAGAGATTCCGTGCCAATTTACGATCTACGAATCCTCATCGTGCGTTTAAAAAAAAAAACGATTACGTTGTACGGTTTTACTTTTTCGAAAAAATGAATTCTATTTACTATTACAGTCAAGAAAATTTCGACATTACAATACACAATGAAAATGTAAATCAACTGAATCCGCAAAGCATAAAAAGAGTGAATTTACGGCATTTTAAAAAGGGGAAAAGAAAAAATCAACAACGCAATTCTGTTGCTCGGATATCGCAGATGTTATCGAATTTAAATAAATTTCGTGCCCATTGCTGTTTTACGAGCTTTCTACGAAACCTATTCAAAGAAACGAACCGTGTAATTTAAGAATCACCTCAAGATAATAAGTACGCTTTAACGTTGATGAATAATACATGAAACAAAGGATTACAAAATATTTTATACCTTTTGCGCGCTATATGATTTCCCACTGACCTATAAGTAACATAATATAATACATATATGTAATGTAAATATCCACTCTGTGCCAGTAAGTGGCACAAGAAACTCGGGAATTTGGAATATTCCATTCACGAACTATCTCCATCTCGTCGTGTACAGTTAGTTTCCTGCGTGAGAAAATACGAATTGCATAACAGTGAAACGATCTTAAAATCTTAACTATAAACGAAACTAGATAATTAATCGGATAAGAGTTGGAGACGTAACACTGGAAACTCCTCAAAACTTACGAATTTATTTTAGTTTATGTTATTTTTATTAATAATAATGAAATCGAGTTCACGTATAATTTCACAATTTCTATTGCGAAACGGTAAAACATAAAAATTTAATTATGTTGCAGTTCGCCTTCAAAAACAATTCGATTTTCTGACAAAGATTTCTTAAGATTTTAGATTCCTGACAAAATTTCTCCTCGGGAGAAAAAAAGAAAAAAATAAGCATTCTGAGCTTCCAGGGTCTCGAAATCCCAGAAAATTTGACAGTTTCGCGAATCTAAAAATTCAATTTCGATCCATCGTCAAATAACGATATGATCGTAATTATGCAAGGAATTAGGTAACGCGTCTATAGAAAGGTACACGCTGAAAGGAAGCTGGAAAATTGATGAGCGCGGTGCAATGTCCTTAGTACATGTATATGTATGTGCTCCCGCACTTATTAAATGTTACGCCGCAATATCGTTTCCCTATGGCGCATGATAAACGTATGGATACGCCAATCAGGGCAGAAAAGTTGGAAACGTCCCTTGGGTATTTTTAGAAGGAAGCAATGTAATCTGTCCTCCAGGAACACGACAATGTAACATGCCTATAGTATCTGCAAATATGTTTATCTTAGTATCTAAAAATAATATTTATATTTAAATTGGCGATAAAAACGAATTTACACTGTTTGTCTACAGCGAAGCAGTATAAATTTGTCTAACTGAATTTAACAGAAATTTTCCGAAGCAGTACCATTAAATTTGCATCGTTTATTAATAGAATTCATATTCGACAATTAACCCGCTGCTTAAACTAGATCTATCTAGTCTTAACAAGTACATACTTTATACTCGGATATTAATGTTGTTAACATTGGTAATTTATAACTTGTAAAATTTCACTAATAATATCAATTCAATTGTGCAAGAGTGTTCTAGTGTTGATCATAAATAACCATATTCACAAGTACATATATACTATACCGACTGATGACATCATACGCTAACATAATTTACATACAACTTCTTTGAAAATGCATCAATGTTCGCTTCTGAACCATCACATTTAAGAGACGTCCATTAAAACTAACGACTATACCATGAGTAAATACCAATGATCACAATGCAGCCTTTACACTCTAGAACCTTTTCCACTTTCTAAAAAGATTCCCTAAATTCTGTAGGGCATTGAACGAATAAAAACATGCTTAAGCAATTATGATTACCAATGATTATACAATGATTACCAAAGACTTTGTCAAGAGACCACTCTTGATGCAAGGTAAAAATTTTCTAAGAACCACTAGCAAAAAATGTTTACACTGCTTCAAGCAATTACCGGATCACGTTACCAAGTACGGGAACTGTAGCAAATACCGGAAACGAGAGAATGCTGTATATATACACTATACTATACTATAATAATATAATATTATATATATAATATGTACATTATCTTTAATATATTTATAAAAATGTCTAATATATTTAGTCGTTAGACTGATTCATAAGAAGATAACCATAAATGGTTTATAGTATGTATGATCACTTAAGGATTTATTTCACAAAATTCTGTCAACAAAAAGTATCGAATTTTGTATAAATTTATTTATAATAATAAGATAAGTGTCTACCTCCGTGCAATTATATATCATTTGCGCAACGTAACGTTTTAACGCACGAGCATTGTTCCGGTTTGAATGAAACAGGCAGATGTCGCCGAAAACGTAATCCGGAAGAAGCGATCGGCACGACACTAATTTATTAATTTATGCCGAAGACGCGCACACGCCCAAGCCCGGCAACGGTGACGTAACTGTAAACACAACACTTACAGAGAACCAACAGCTATTACTAAATCAAAAATTAGATTTATCAAACAATTATTACTATTATTTCCACGTTACTAATATTTTATGTAATATATAATCTTTTGTAGATGTTGACTTATCATTTATAATTGTGAAACCGTTTTAACGGTTAAAAGAGGTTAAAAGTTTCGAGATATTCGATTCGAGATATGTATCGACTATGCCAGTCTCGAATGTCATAAACATAAAAACGGTATGTATAGATATATGCGGTTAGAATCGATATAATAATTTCCTAATATTTTGTGTGTAAAAATTTATTATAATATTTTACGAACGATTGGAAGGTTTTTGACAATGACTCAGCACCGAATTCGGTATCATGACGAAATCATTTATACGACGAACTGGCAATTTATAACACCGTCACCAATTAAATAACTATGCCGCGTGATTGGATCATTTTTATTAATGTTGGTACGAGTTCCGGATAAATATAAATAAAAATTATTCACCGGTATCTATATCACAGGTATGGATATTTTTGAATTTTATACGTCTACACTTTTCGCACGCATGACATTTTCCAAAAGTTATTTTGAAACGAAGTATAAACACGATCGTCGTCAAATGTCCATTTTACTGTGTTATCAAGATAAAACAGCCCCGAATACGCACTTCTAAATGATTAGATTATCTTCGGTTAACTTTTCCAAGGAATTATTTTTCAACGTAGAATACAATGACGAACCATAAGAACTACAGAGCGTAAAATTTATTCGAACACGTATCTTTAAAATCTTGAATATTTCGCGTTACTCATTTGCAAAACACCGCGCGTATATTTTTTAGGTCAGCGATGAAAACGGCGTTCGATTTTATACGGCAAACAAGTAGTCTGATATTCCGGCGAACGATGGTACAATGCTTGACAGATTTTCAGTGGAGAGCAAAATTAGGTCACCGACAGATAGGGCGTCTTGACAGGTGAACAAAACCATTCAGGGGACACCATGTAGCGGAAATTAAAGAAGCTATAAATGCGAACCCTAAAGCACAATGATCTTACTTCAAAAGAAATAACGGGTATTCGTGGTATTAACAGAAATATTCGTCGTACAATCAAGCGAATTGTTCCTAGAACTACCATAATAATCCAAATGACCAACCCATCATTTTTCATAGAAATTTAGATTGATAATGATGCATTTTTAAGGGATTTTCTATGATTTGTTATAAGATACATAGATAATCTTACTTCTTCTTACATTATGTATCTTTCATTTTCATTTCTTTGATAAAAGTTTTGTATCTTAACTGCATACAGTTTTAGAGCTATACATAAAAGTAAGAAGATTACGAATGCTCTTACATCTGGGAGGTGAAACGAAATAGCTTATTTAATAGCACAGTGGGCACAGGTTCGTTATTACTAGAATCAATGCAGCACTTGACCGAAGAAATTGTAAAAAGTGAAGCGATTACGATAAATGACAAACGATCTCACGTACCATCGGAATATGAGTGTCGTTCGAGCGCTGTCAAAAGATACGTGTAACGAAATGGTGTGTAACGATTCAAAAGTAAGGAGAAATCGGGGAAGCTAAGGCGGCACACGCCATTTTTATCTGTAAAGTCCGAGCCGTCACGAGACAACCGATCGTAAAACTTGATCGCTTTCGTGTTTTCGAACTGAAACCAGAGGAAATGGTGTACATACCTTCTCGTGAGGATACCCTGCGACAACGTTTTATCCCAGTACTCGCATAAAAACCTGCCGATGTACACCAAAAACCACCGATAACGATCCACACAAATCCATCCACACACTCGACCGGCGCGCAACTGACTGAGCGCATACGGCGTCGACCTACGCCAGCGTAGCTAGTCCCAGTTCTCATCCACCAATAAGAAGCACGCGTAACATTATGAATGTCTGCAGCAAACCGATGTATAATTTTCGTAGGATGATATTTTTAACGATAAAGAAATGAAAATGAAAGGTGCAATGTAACGGAAAAATAAAATTATCCATGTACTTCGTAACAAATCATGGAAAATCCCCCCAAAAATGTGCCATTTTGAATCTGTAGAATTTTTATAAAAAATTACGAATTATTCATTTGAATTATTCTGGTAGTTCTATGAACAATTGAAATGATTTTTTAAACATCCGTTTAATTATCGACTAACAATGTTACATCGGAATGAATATTGTAAATCATTTTCAAAAATGCTAAAGATGTGCATTTTTTTTTTCTTTTATTAATATAAGTGTATTGATCATTTAGTTGTGGAATAAACAAATAATCGTTTTCCTTGTGCATTGTCTTCTTCTTATGTATTGTTTTTGGATAACATACATTTTATAACCAATAGAATACTTGTTAAATAATTGTCTTGGAAACAAATTTACTTCTTATAATTATAGAGTCTTTATAAAATTATGCGTTAGTAATTTACGAAATAAGAAAATATTCCTATTAAGTTTTATTAATGTAGTTACTTCATTATATATTTATATCGTTTAAAACTGTATGAATAGCAATTTTTTGTTTAATATCTATAATATGATTTTTTCGTGAGAGTAACTAAGAAAGTAAGTACATTTGACCTTTTATTGCACAAATTTATATGATTAAAACATTTACAAGTGCACTTGTATCGGTACCGTACCTGCCTTGTAACAGCCGGCGTAGGAATACAAGATAGCTTATGACATCACTAGTCCCGTTTACCCATATTCTGGACCGGGCACGCCCCATCCTCTCCGTTACACATTATTACGAAAATTTATATGACAACCATTCAATTACGAGAGAAAATTTATTTTGAATATTCAAGAAATATTAAATATAGCAGAAAGTTCTAAATAAAAGAGTAAAACATACATGTACAGTATAAATAATCGCATTCGTTCTTTCGTTACGTTTCATCATTCCATAATTCAAAATTAATTATTGGAACATCTTTATTTGATATTTTTCAAACGTTTGAAATTGAAGAATTGAAAAATAATATTTCTTTAATTCTTTATAATTGTGTCTTGAAAATAACATGTATGTATATATAATGTAATTAAATTAATTTTTTGAAATTTCTTCTTAAAGATAAAAATATTAAATGGTATTACAATAAAAAATAAATTTAAAAGCAGATCACAGCAAATATAAATAGAAAGGTAAATGGAAAATGTATACATTTATATACATATTATAAGCAGAAGGACGTCACAATGTACATTTTACATCACTTAATAATTAATATAAATACATTTTTTAACTAGATATAGCTTATGCCTTACGATCTTGACACGAATAATGTACAATATCGCCATTCGGATACCTCGCAAACGCACTGAAAAATAATTGATGTAGTAACTTCTTTGTACGACAATCACAGTCAATATTATTCTATATAGTATTTAAATACTGACCTCTGATTGCCGAATCTCTTTTTACACACTGGACATATATTGAATTCCGTCATAAGAACGCTCTGTGATTCATAATGCATACGCTGCTCTTGTACTTGCAAGAGTTCAGCGTAAAGTAATCCTTTTAATACTTGTATCCTTCTTGCAGTGTTTAATTTTTCCTGCAAACTGACTTCTAAAAAGTACTTGATTCTACCTATAGGAACTGTATCAGGCAGAAGCTCTAATGCCTTTAGTGGATTTATCTTTGATGCATGCTTCTCGAGCAGCTCAAGTGCCATTTCCAAATCAGGCTCTGCTGTTCTTTGCATTTCTGGGATACATCCTATAATGTGTTTCTTATAATATTTAATATATTATATATATTATTATATTAACTATTAACTGTTATCTTAAAATGGACATAATATTGCACACGTCGAAATTTTACCTGTGATTAAAACTCCTTTATCGTCGGGTTTCAACAATTGTTGAATAAGCATTACATAGACTTCATCAGCTCCATCGGATTGTTTTTGTTTATCTACAATTTCTTGATCTAGAAATAAAAAAGTAATTGCGCGTTTTTGTAAATAGATAGTTTTAATGCTTCAGTTAACACATACTTTGATATCTAGTATATACGTTATAACAATACTCAGTTGCTTTTGCTATATCATTAAGAAGACTAATATATATTGAAATAGCTTGCTGATGACGTCCAAGTCTTCCAAGAATAATAGCACGCTCCTCGAACAAATTATCAAATGGAAAATGTACTAATATCGTTTCAGGAGTATAATGCGTAGATTTTTCTAAAAACTGTTGCAATTTTTGTCTTATATGTTGGGCTGTTTGTTTTTCGGCTGGTGTAGCATTTTCACTCATACACGCTAAACATTTTTCTTTGTATTGATGTATTAAAACATTATGGAACAAAGGATTAGTATCTTCCCAAACATGTACTACATATTCCAAATATGTTATCACTAAATCTTTGTGATGACATAGAAGATAATCCAATACCTTTGGTCTTGGTAATAGTTCAACTTGCTGGAATTATAAATATAATTTACAAAAGAATTGAAGAGCATTATATGATATGCATTACCTGCATATCTTCCATGAAAATTCGAAGTCCTTGTTCTGGATCTTCATTCAAAACCCAACCAGCAAACTTCAAAATTAAATCCATATGATCTTTACCAAGTTGCTGCAAATATTGTATCGTTCTTGCAGTGCCTTTTAGACTAGAATCATTCTCTTTTGCATGCTTTTCCAGAAGCTCCAATGCTTTTCTATGTTGTCCCTTGGTTTGATATAATATAATAAGTTCAGGATATTTTTGATGCATTAATAAAGTTTTTTCAGCTTCTGCTAAATGACAATGATTTAATCTGAGTAATGGTGCTACCAATGCATCAGTAGTCTGTAAAAACGTTTCATAAACACAAATTAACTGACATTAGACACTACTTATTATAAGCTAGAAATTCTAAATTACCTGTAGATAACATTTTAACAGAGTTGTGTCTATAATCTTTAATAATTGTTCTGTAGCTACTGCTGTCATATTCTTTTTTCCATTCACTACAGATTTTTCCTCATTGTTATCCTTATCCTTGGATTTTGCATTACCGCCCATTAACTTATATCTAACTTCAGTAAGAAAAATTATTAATGCACGTAGACCTTTTTCTAAATCATGGTCTTGGAGTTTAGGCAAAGTTGGATCACTGACTTCAGGATTACTGCTAGATGGTGTAACTAAATCAGGAAATAACATTATCACTTCATAAGGATCTGTTCCTATTTTTAAGAACTGATCCATTGCTTCTTGAAATCTTTTGTTACGAAACAGATGATGAGCATACAATGTTTGAATTTTATATATTTGCTTATGTTTTTCTTCTTCTGTTATATCGGATAAGCTCTAAAATAACAAAAAACTTTATTTTAAAATTTCATTAAATTAAAACAAAGTAAATAATCAAAGCTACTATTAACATACAGTTAATTTTATTGCTAACTGAAACTGAGTTTGCTCTAGTAATGTTCTAATTTGATGTGTTACATCAACTGCTCTCACACACCAAACATGACTAATTGATGCTACAAAAACTTTCCCTTGTTTGCATCTGTATATAAGCCTAGCTTTGTTTAGATCTTTTATTGTTTGAATATGCAGACAACCCTCTATAGTATATACTTCTAATCTGTCATGAACAATTCCAAGTAAATAAGGATCATCCCAAGCTAAAATAATTCAATTTTTATATTATTATACACAATTCAAGAAAGAATTACATAAATGTTTTTAACACAATTATATATATTCTATACCTAATGCACTTGGTGTATCAGACCATTTTACTGGATTATGTTGAATCAGTTCTCCTCTGGTATCCATAACAAATGATTGAGAATCTTTTCCTAGTACAAAGGAATTATCAGACAATTTTGTAACACTTGGTTCAGGAGATTTTCCAGTTGGAAATAATTCTTTGGTTTTTCCATTTAAATTCAAAGTTGTGTATGATAATCCACGAAAACCCAAAATTAATGTTTCACCACACCTTTGATAGAATTAAGATATTTTGTTATTCTATCAGAATACATAAATTATTTTGTATCTAACATAGAACACATACCAACATAATTCACGTGGAATATCTGGCACAGTTAATTCAAAACCATTAAATGTCTCAAATTTTTTTCCTCTTGAATTATATAATTGTAGCTTACGTTTCACAGCAACACATAAGTGCACAACTGTTTGATTTTCACCATTTACAATTTGATTTGGTTTTATATCTAAAGCAAATAATGTGGCACCACGAGTCTTTTGTAATTGATAAAGTTGTTGAAAGTTTGGAGAGTTTAAATCATGAACACATACTATATTATCTACAAAAAGATACAATAAATTAAGTATACCATTTTTGATTAAAAAAATCAAAATAAAAATACCTGTTAAAATTATAAGCAAGTTATACTCTGGTACAACATCTATCTGAGTGATACGCTTTTTATTGAAGTTTTTACTATGACGTAACAATTCTAATTTGTGATTGTCATCTAATACAGATGGTACATTATACATAAGAAGATGACCCTCTCTTGTTCCAATCAGTAAATTGTCATCTGAAACACTTTGCTATTATTCACTACACTTGCATATAAATATAAAAAAATATTATAATTAAATATATATTCAAAATAAATAACAAGGAATACATTTTATAAAGATGCAATAAAAAATAATTTTATATCCAAAAAATGCTAAATATATCCACATAAAATTATATATTTAGGGTTAAAAATTTTTAGTTTTAAGGTTATATGGTTCCTACCGTACGCAGCCATAGATTCTATTTGAACAGAAATATTTAATATTAAGGTTTCTTCATAAGCGTCGTGCATTTTGACGTTTAAGAAGTAAACTTTTTTATTGCTAATTTCTTTACAAATCCAGAAATTAGAAAATTAATTTTTTAGCATTAGTAATCGATTACATATGTACAGCTGACATTCGAATATGTTTGACAACTAACTCAGACTATGATCAGACATATAGTACAAATCCTTTGATAAACAACGCAGATAGTAAAATTCTATGTATAGGTGCAACTAAATAAAGAAAATATAGTAATAGCAGTTTGAGAGGAATAAAGCATTAACAAGTTATAGAACATTAGTATTATATTATTTATTTTATCTATTACAATAGCTGCATTTATAACCTGTTGCAATAAACATTTTACATTATTTTAAGTTGTATAAAATAAATTTTTATTTTATAATCATCATTTATTATTTATCTATACGGCCAATGTTTTTTAAAATTTAATACAAATATGTTACGATCTTTTTATTTGAAGGAGATCTTTAGCTTCTTGAATCCACGGTTTATTGCCAAAAGATTCATAAATTACATCAATTTATAATGAACAAATAACAAAAATTTCCAAATTATATGTTTAAAAGTTATTATTGTCTAAAAACAAAATTATATTTAATAATTATATATACAAAGTAATAAATCTATATTTCGAAAAGTACACAAATTAATAAAATTTAAGATTTTAAAAAATAATATTAATTAATAACATAAAACGATGAAATAAAAAGTTCTGTATTTTATACACTTATCAAATATATTTCCTGTATAGATGGCATACTTATAGTTCATTTCTTTCGGTTCTATTGTAAATTGTAGCTGTATGTGTACAATGATATTTAACACTTGATATTTTCATATGATACATAAAAAAAATTAATTTAAAATTTTACAAATATGTCAAATTCGCTTGTACGAAAAGGACTTGAATTGTTGGGTTACGAAAAAAGTGTAAAGCAAGGTATATATTCTATTATCCAGCATTTTAACTTGTATAGGTTATAAATATATATTTAATATTACACAAAATATTTATTTTATAGAAAAAAAGAAAAGAAAACACGTAAAATATAAAGGTTCGCTGGATCTGATCCCTCCAAAACACAGGATATTTTCTAAAAACGATAAAACAGGTATTTATAATCTTCGAAATAAAAGATTAATCTATCGTTTATCAGCTAATGAAAAGTAAATATTTCTTAAGATCTCGGAACAGTCCTTGGCCGATCAAGCAAAGTAACTGTTTATGAAACTCAAAAAAAATTAGCTGCAAAAGTAGATCCTACAGATGAAAATGTACAGAGGCTTTTATTGCTTAGCACTAATCGTATTGATCCAAATACAACAAATAAGGTATAGTTCCATAAATTTTTTAATTACTCATGAAATAAATTTTACTAATCAAAAAATTTTATATCAGTTATTAAGCAGAGCTTTGAGAAAGAGATATATTCCAAAGGAAAAGAAACCTAAGGAACCTGAAGCCACTGCATTTACTGAAGAAGATTTTAAGAAATTTGAAAAAGAATACGTGGATCAGTAATGATAATTTTATATTTCTTAAATTATATATTAGGTAAACGAATTTCAATTAATGAACTTTACTTAGTATACATGGCATTATGATAGTCACCAATATATAAAGACATTTAATTGTATTTCATCTGTAAAGCAATATTATTTTTTGCACGTTTATATGATAAATGTTTAATCTACTATAAATTGTTAAATGTAAAATGTTTAATAGCGATCGTAAAAGGGGTAAAGTGATATTAATTTTAACTTCCTCTTTATTTCTCTATTACACTATATGGATTATTGGTTTACCATTCATAGATGATAATAGAATACGATCGTTTTTTGGTTCTCACAATATTGCATTAATAATTCCTGCAGTGTCTGGCTTATGCTTCATTGGTGGATTAGTATTGTTTACTATTTATCACGTTAAACCATATTTTTCGAGTAATAAATCAAGTAAACTTCATGATTCGTAACATATACATAAAAAGGTTTATGTAAATGAAAATATTATATTGTATATTGCTAACTACATTGTGTTGAGAAACATTGACACATTTGTGTGTATTTTATCATTGATTAAGTAATAAAGTTAATGTAACTTATGTAACTAGACCGCCATTGTTTATATGTATGTTCCTAGTACGTGGCTAGTATGAGTTAACCTATTCTAGATTTTAAGTAAAATTATTATTACTAGAGAAAACTCAAAATGTCTTCAAAGAAATGGTTTGTGCTTGGTATTTCGGGTGCAACATGCAGTGGAAAGACTTCTTTAACTAATCGACTTCATAATGAGTTAAAAAATTCAGTAGTGATATACCAAGACAACTATTTCTTACCGAAAAACGATCCACGTCATGTAAAAATTGATGAACTTAATCATTTAAACTGGGAAGTAATAACCAGTATGGATATGAACAAAATGCGTTCAGATGTTTTACAATTGATCAAATCGTCACCTACAGAAAATAGTTCTTCCGAAACAGTTAATAAAAATATATTAATATTAGATGGGTTTTTACTTTTCAAATGTAAGGTTATTTCAGATTTATGTGATCGTAAATATTTCATAACATTAACAAAAGAAGAATGTTGGGAAAGAAGGAAAGGAAGAGTATACGATCCACCAGATGTTCCTGGCTATTTCGAAAAAGTTGTTTGGCCAGAATATTTAAAGCATAAAGATGAATTAATGAAGGACAATGACTTTTGTAAGACAATAACATTCATTGATGGATTGGAAAGTAAAGAAGAGATATTTCAACTGGTTTTTGCAGAAATAAAAAAATTATTATCATAAAGTCTCATCATATTATTATATGTAAAAAAAAAGCGCTTAAAACTATAAAAAATAAATATACACCATAAACTGATTGTGGATATTTAGCTATCATTTAACAAAAAGATGGTGATATTACAAACATTAGTTTCAAAAAGAAACATCTGTACATTCCAGAATGTTTAGCACAAAATATAATTAATATTCTGAAATATTTTCCATAATAATCTAGGACATTTATCCCAAATATTTTTTTTTAAATTCGAAATAAAATAATCGCAATAATAAATGTATATCTTGTATATTAAATTCCCTATATATATTGACAACTGATTTTTACTGAGCTGAAAAGCGTAGTGTACTTACCTGGCACAGTTGTGCATTGAGCGATATTTTTTTTTTGAAAATGATAAGTACACTTGTATTTCATCACTTTCCTTTTTGTGAGAAATGTATGTACATGAGTCATTGTTGCATTATCAGTACTGATGAAGTTTTTTTATGAATTCCCATGAAAATGCCCATACATGAATCAAATGTAGTTTATGTTGAAAATGTGGTAATTTTGTAGCTGTGTATCACAATATTGTAACTACAACATGTACAATCTTTTTTGTTTTTGTTGCATATTGTTTGCACATAAAGCCTGCTTCAGATGTTAAGTAATTCCTTAGGAAAGAGTTTTAAATTTCGTTCTTTATGCATAGTATATTTTGTACAAAAATTAATTGTAAAAGGCTTAGAAAATTAAGAATGTTTGAGTTTACAACTCCTTGCAGACACTTCATAGCTTACAACTTAGTAATCAATCTTCACTTTTACAGAAATTCAGAAAGGGTATAATGATACATAGCAATGTTCTTTTTATTTTGTACAAAATGTTTCGCCAAATTTCGGACATTTATCTTCATCCAAAACAGGCTTCAAAATGTTCAAGTCTTCGTTTTCAACAAGATTCACTTCGTTTTTTTCTCTTTTTTAATAAAGATAACGCACAACGACGTGTATATGTTACATGGAATAGGTGCTATGTTTAGATTGGCCTTGCACATTTGTTACATTTGTTGGAGCAGGTCCAGGTGTTTGATCATCTTGATCATTTTGTCCACAAGCTTTTCGAACATATTGCGGTGTAAGAACAACTTCTTCTTCCATTTCAAGAACTCGTTTGTCCAATTCCATACATGCTGCCATTTCTTTTTCTAATTTTGCCAACATCTGTGGTGAATTGTATTTTTCTGGATCATCATGAAACACTACCATACCATCTTTTTGATTGATTGTTGCAAAAATTTCACCATCTTCTATCTATGATTATAAATATAAAACATCTTTATGTAACATCTATACACACAATTATTATATAAATAATAAATATATATTATATAAAATAAATATATAAATAAATAATAAGTGCATTTACCATGTTTAATATATATTTTTCTGCATCGGCAGGTCCTGATAATTGAACTCTACTAGCCACATCACTTAAGCTAAGAGTCAAAAAAGTTTTTGTCAATCTTTGTATGTTCTTCTTGTATAAATAGCTGAGCACTTGTTTCACCAGTCCCATATTATGGTCTCTTGTAAACAGTTGTTGATATTTGGTGATAATATTCTGCACCTCTTCACAACTATTCATTTGATAAGCTGTAGCCAATTCTTGATACTGTTGACCCAGTGGTTTCATGTACCTATTAACTACTTGACTCGTATACCTAGGTAGATTCAAAACTTTCCCATGCAAAATTAAAGAGACCAGAATATATTTCTTGTAGGCTTCTAACATAATGTAACTAACTGCCATGGCAGGTGTGGTTACACACACTTCAAAAAAGTACAATGCTCTATCATAATTCTTTAATGCTGTATATATCATACCACCATAATAATAATAAAGTAAAAAGTATTTTGAATCAAATTGTCCTTCCTCTTGGCTGATACCAGTAATATCTATATCGAGAAATTCAAGTGCTGGTTTGAAACACTTAGAGAGAAGACATAGTTGACAAAGATCAGCATGTATTGAAGTAAGCTGGCTATCGAATAGTTGTATTTTACGTATTGCACGGCACAATAGTTCAATACCACGCAATGGTATTTGCAGTTCAACTAATGTTTGAGTAAATAAATGGCATAATTCTGCATCTACAATGTAAATGATAGAAATCAATTACAAAAATAGTTTCATTATAATTTTAATGGTTCCCAATACAAAAGAAGAAAGGTTAGAAACTTACATATATCAGAAGCAAATCTAACTTGTTCTCCATTACAACCAATGATAAATTCCTGAACCTGATTAAATAGCGGTTTATAAGCATCAGCATTGTTTGCACCATTAGGATTAGGCAGTGAAAATTTTACACATAATACTGCCAAAATACCTAATGAATGTTCCTGCAGATTTAGGGTTTCCAAAACGTTATCTAAATGTTGTCCATTTTTTATTAGAACATCTGTGCTTTTAGCTATTATTTCTGACAGCTCTCTAAAATTACCTAAGGAACATAAGGCAATTGAATAATATTATTTAACAATTACTTCAAAAAATATTATAATTTTATTTACAATAGAATATTGATTTAACAAATGCATATATTTTTTATATACACTTGATATTAAACAATTTAAGAAAAAGGTTTATATGGCGCTGTAAAGAAAAATGTTGATATACATATTTAAGATTTAGTCATAGATATACTTAATATAGAAATCAGATTTATATACGATCCGAATAAAATTAAACGGATGAGTTATTCGATACCACAATGAGAAAATATTGTGAACTCGAATCCTATTTTTCTAGGAAAGGATCATTATAGAGTAACGCAGAACGTTCTAATAAACCTTTAGGATTATTCTTGGAGGTTAGGTTCATAAGAATATAAGGAAGGTTTGAACATCTGTCGTACCTTGTTTTGAGAGCGTCCGCACATTATTTACAAATTGCTCCAATGCCGACGCCATTACTGCAATTGCTTTCTTCTCATCACCACCTTTAATCGGTGATGAACCGTATTTACAGAAATTATTTTCGTTAACAAATGATCACTTAAGATGACGTTTTGAAACAGGCAACCGGAATGCTCTGAAGCATGTTACGAGTTACAAAAATAGCCGGTTGCGTCGAACTCCCTCTTTTATGTTTCACTCAAAAACACAATTTGAATTGAAATATATTTGTATAAATTTGTTTTTCTTGTAAATCTAATAAAAATTATCTTGTACTAGATTGTACAGGAGTTTCTATAGGATGTAAACATGTTCCAGATCTTTGCATTATATGTGTCGCAAAATTGTATATTTATTTACTTCAAATAAGCGCATGTTTTACTTAACATAGCTATTTCAAACAGTTGTAAAATGATTATACAAATAATTAAACACATTATGCTAACACTTGTAAAAAAATTAAGTTAGATGTACTTATAACAAATATGTATTTAAATATAAAACCTTTTTTAAATAAGTATTTTTAAAAGAATTGTACGTATTACATGCTAGTTTAATTGATGGTTGCTACGATACCAACGATTTCTAACAATCCTGAAAGACGAATAAAGCAAAGTGTTTGTTCACATTATCATTCGATTTGTTTTTCTATAATTTTATTTTTAAATAGAAAAGAAAAGATATTTCGATTATGTCAAGTATGATATATAACGAGCTTTGGAAAAGCGCGCAGACTGATATGGAGGAACTCCTACAAATCGATACAAATTTGCAAAACGCTAAGTCGCAAAAGGATCGTAAAAAAGCTCATAATACGGTTTCGGAATTATACGTAAGATATATTCTTATCTATAATAAATTAGAATTGTGTTACGATCAAATAATTCAACCGCAAAAACGAATATTAATGAAACAATTGTTAGTCTCATGCCTTGGTAGAATTTTAGAATTAAAACATGAATTAGTCGAAATAGATCTTTCAGAGTATAGTTATTTCGATGATATTTTAATAAAATTAAGCGTTACTCCGCAAGAAGTTGAAATTCAAATTCCAAGATATTTTAGACGTGAGTGTTTACAAGAGATCGAAGGAAAACAGAAATATATAGAAAGTATTTTAAAAGGTATAGGTGTTTTGGATGAAGTAGTTCCACCAAAAAATATGACTGAATCCGAAGCGATAAGACTTATACAGGTACGAATTTATATAAGATTAAGAATGATAATACTATTTGTATATTAATGTACGTTTAAATATTGTCTATGCAAATGTTAGGCTCACGAACGCGCTAGACAAGGCCGATTAAGATTTCAATTTATGAAAGAAATTCGTCAAATAAAGAATAAATCTGCGATTAAAGCAGATGCAAAGATAAAAGAATCGTGCGAAAAGACGGCTGTAATAAAAATTCAAAAAGTTTGGAGAGGATACGTAACTAGATGCAAAATTCGGAAACCGAATTTATATAAGATTAAGAATGATAATACTATTTGTATATTAATGTACGTTTAAATATTGTCTATGCAAATGTTAGGCTCACGAACGCGCTAGACAAGGCCGATTAAGATTTCAATTTATGAAAGAAATTCGTCAAATAAAGAATAAATCTGCGATTAAAGCAGATGCAAAGATAAAAGAATCGTGCGAAAAGACGGCTGTAATAAAAATTCAAAAAGTTTGGAGAGGATACGTAACTAGATGCAAAATTCGGAAACGACGTCTCGAAGAAATGTTATTAATTGGTATTTTTTTTTTTTTTTTTTATTAAAATAATAAGTGATGCATATATAATAAATAGTGTGTATGTATATTTATATTTGTCTATTTTTAAAGGTATGCTTCAACCGAGTCAAGAAATTACGGAAAATGCTAGACAGGCTGAGAAAGTTAAAGAAGAGAGATATGAAAAACAAATTAAATATCAAGAGTTATACGAAAATTTGGTGGTCGAAGCTAAAGAAAGAATTCGTAAAGGAAAAAGTGCCATAATAGAAGAAAATATAAGGAGTGAAGTTCGAAACTGGGTAAACACTTATTTTCAACAGACAGGAAAAATTCCAGACTTGCCATCTGCTGAGAGTGGAGGATCTAGAGTCATATTTAGCAGACAGGTAAAATTAGTATTTACACTTGTATTGCGTGTACAGCATTTTCAAATCTGCTCTATATCAGCAATAACTCTTTGATGCAACTAAGTTGAAGTAGAATGTAATTCCATATATACAGGGAACTGAGAGCACTATAAGTAAATCAACAGCAG